AAGGTAGCGGAGCCAGCATTCGCAGCATTCACGGCTCACAAGGAGGAGCTATCGGTGCACAAAGGGTGCCTGCTGTGGGGAGACCGGGTCGTGGTCCCCACAGCCCTGCAGCAAAAGGTACTACACGCCCTGCACGAGGCACACCCGGGCATCGTGCGGATGAAAGGCCTCGCACGGAGCTACGTCTGGTGGCCAGGCATCGACGCAGAGGTGGAGGCTTGGGTGAAGCGCTGCCCCACTTGCCAGGCCGTGAGGCCCAGCCCGCCGGGGGCTCCCTCTCAATCCTGGGAATCCACACACACCCCGTGGTCGCAGCTGCACATTGACTTTGCCGGACCTTTCCATGGACTATTGTTTCTAGTGATGGTGGATTCCCACTCCAAGTGGCTAGAAGTGAGCCCTGTCTCCGCAACGTCCACCAAAGCAACCATCCGAGCCCTCAGAAAGATCTTCGCCACACACGGCCTGCCAGACACGATCGTTTCGGACAACGGGACGGCGTTCACGTTGGAGGAGTTCCAGCAGTTCCTCAGCGGCAACCTGATCAGGCACATCAGGTCAGCGCCTTTCCACCCCGCGACCAACGGCCAAGCAGAGCGAATGGTGCGGACTACGAAAGAAGTGCTGAGCCGCTTGATGGAGGGGGACTGGGAGCGGAGAATTGCGCAGTTCCTCCTGGCGCAGCGCACCATGCCCAACCCAGTGAGCGGCCGATGCCCAGCCGAGCTCCTCATGGGAAGAAGACCGCGAACCCTGCTGGACCGCCTACACCCGGATAGAGCTCCTGAAATGCAGAGCTCGCCTGAGCAGCAGGAGGTGCCTCGTGGATTTTTCCCGGAAGACCCGGTCTTTGCCAGTAACTTCGCCAGGGGCCCGGAGTGGCTAGCGGGGTGCATCATTCGGCCCCTAGGATCGGTAATGTACGAAGTGTCTACCAAGTGTGGTCAAGTACTGCGGAGGCACATCAATCAGCTCCAGCGGCGCATGCTCCCGGAACACACAGGCACCGAAGGCCCGGAACCACAGCCGGCGCTCGAGAAGGACGCACCTCCACCCCTAGCATTGGTCTCTACCCCGGGAGAGCAGCCGAGCCCGACACCAGGTCCACCGACGATCGCGGAAGAGGCCCCAGCTACAGGAGTCGCAGAGCCAGAGGGCCCTCCACAGGCAATACACCCCGACATAGAAGGCGAGGCCCCCGAGGTCCCAATACCAACCCCCCGACGGTCCACTAGAGAACGACGGTCCCCATCTTATTTGAAGGACTATGTCACCTAGGATGGGTTGGAACTATGGGGGGAGGGATGTTGTGTATGCTGACCGCCACCGGGGGACCAGTAGACACCAGAACTTCCGGAGCTTGACTCTGGGACAACAATAGGGACTAGGCTCCTAGTCCCTCCACTGGGGAGCCAATGGGATCCGTAGCAGGAGATTCAAACCCACCAATGGTGACCAGGGGTGTGTCCCCGGGGATGTATATAGTTGGCCCCCCAGGCCGTTGTCCTCTGTTCTTGTTATGTTCCTAATAAAGCGTGCTATGCACCACGTCGTTGTCTGTCGTCTATCCATGCGGCAACCCACTACATAACAGGCAGATGGGACAGGTGAGGTCTGGTTGTTGTAGTGAACAACCAGCATGCCTGGACACTGGGGGGAGGGGCGCTACATCACTCTAAAGGTGTCTAGGTGTTATCTCCTTGAATGAGATGCCTCTCTTTGTCTTGACTTGGGAGCTGCCCTCTGACCTCTCCTCTCTCTCCCTTTGTCCTCTCTGTCCTCACATGGCCTTCCATAGAGACAGACACCTCTCCAGTTCTCTCCTGTAGCTATAATGCCCTCATACTCCAACACACATGATGCCGGACAAGCTGGCCATTTGTGATGGTGAGGGGTCTGGGGACCAAGTCCTCTGAGGAAAGGTTGAGGGAGCCGGGTGTGTTTAGCCTGGAGGGGAGACGACTGAGAGGTGATAGGATCACCATCTTCAAGTCCTTGAAGGGCTGTCAGATAGAGGGTGGGGCGGAGGTGTGTTCTGTTGCCCCAGAAGGTCGGACCAGAACCAACTGGTTGAAATTAAATCAGAAGAGTTTTCGGCTAAACATTAGGAAGAACTTCCTGACAGAGCGGTCCCTCAGTGGGACAGGCTTCCTCGGGAGGTGGTGGGCTCTCCTTCCTTGGAGGTTTCCAAACAGAGGCTAGATGGCCATTTGACAGCAATGTGGTTTCTGTGAACTGAGGAAGATCATGAGAGGGAGGGCAGGAAGGGTTGCCTCAGTGCTAAGTTCTCGTGGCCTTTCTTACATGCCTAGGAAAATGCTGATCGCCACTTTGGGGTCCGGAAGCAATTTTTCTCCTGGCCAGTTTTGCCGGAGATCCTGGAGGTATTTGTCATCTTCTGGGCATGGAGCAGGGTGTCACTGTGGGGGGGGAGGTATTTGTGAATTTCCTGCATTGTGCAGGGGGTTGGACTAGATGACCCTGGAGGTCCCTTCCAGCTCTATGATTCAATGATAGGGAAAGTCCTCTTTAGATCAGACTTCTCTCTCTCCTTTCGACTGCAACCTGAATGTGAACTGGATCTACTTGAATAAATGTAAATGTACCTTTTTTGTTGCAATATACTTCTTGGGAGATTTATTTACCTCACTCAGGGGTCATTTCCTGCAGGAGCGCACAGGAGCGGAGCTCCGGCAGTAAGGAGCCCAGGGGGCAGGCACATGCAACAAGCTCCGCCTCCTGCTCCCAGCAGCCCTCAGTCAGAGCAAGAAGCAGCCAGGAAAGTTGTGGTGCCCCCCCCCATCCAAAACAGTCCAGTGGCACCTTTAAGACCAAGTTTTATTAAGGCACAAGCTCTCCCTCCTCTGCGAGGACAGATCTGCACGTTCCC